TGAAAGAAAGACTAGTGCACAAACGCTTGACAAAACCTCCAGAAGCTGTAGCGGTCTAGCGGTTTCAATACAGGTTGACGTGCCTTCAAAAGGAGTCACATATTTCTCAAACGCAACTTCGGATTTACATAGTGACGTGCGGCGACCCTGTAAATTGCGTGGCCGCAGGCCATGCTTGCAAACAGGACGTGCTCAAAAACACTGGTATTTACGAGGTTTCGTTGCCGTCGATCCACAGCCGCGGCAAGGTCTAAGGCCACGCTTGAAGACAGGAAGAGCTGAAAACACTGGTATTTACGGTATTTTGTAGCCGTCGATCCAAAGGCGCACCACGGTTGAGCGCTGGAAAAGCGCAGAAAACCGTGTAAATACCGGCGTTTTCTGCCGGGAAGGTGCACAAAACCCTGTAAATACCATAGTTTTGTGCAATTTTGAAGCCTCCAAAAGCCTCAAAAACCCTTTCTGACAAAATCTTTCCTGGTTTTTGGTCTTTTTTCGGTCATTTTTCTAACCGAGACGCATCAAAAACCATCGGTTTTTGCGGTGTTTTTTGCCGGACAGCCACAAAAAACGCTGTAAATTCCATGATTTTTTGGTCACTGCTGAGGACTGGAAGAGCTGAAAACACTGATATTTACAGTGTTTTCGAACGGTTGACCCCGAGGCGCGCTAGGGTGGAGTTGAAAGGGGCAGCAAACGAAGATGTCGGGGACCATTTCTCCGAGAGATAGGCTGCAGCTCTGGGTTAATACATTTTTGCTAAAGCAAAAGGAAAACTCAGGTAGCGTAACCGCTACCTTTCGTGATCACCGTGTTCCTCTGGCCCCCCTTCGACGCCTGCGACAGCTGGATTGATATCAGATTCACCATCTCGATCTCTCTGGTTATCTTTCTTCTTTCTCCTCCGTCTCCGTGGTTTCTTGGGCGGAGGTTCCTCTTGTTGTGTCTCCTGACCTGCCGTGGCCTCGTCTTCATGCCCCACACCTGACAGTATGCGATGAAGTATCGTAGCCAAGCCGTCTGGTCTTGGTAAACATCTCCCGTCATCATCATTCACCTTGATGTAGGGTATGTTGTCATGCACCGATAACGGAATCTTGTTCGCGTTCTGGTCGATGAGGTATGGCAACTGATTTGCCGGCCATATGAATGAATACCCTTGTTCCATGCACCGTTTCCCGATGGAGAAGACTGATGGTGTGCTCTCCAACACGTGTGCCTCGGACATCATGGGTAATTCGTCCACATTGATGTCCACCATCTCTGATGTACTAGTTACACCGTTCGCTGTCATGAAGCTCACGGATTTGGGTCCTTCCTTGGTGGTAAGGCCCATGGCGTTGACTTTCTCTCTTGAGATCAAGTCGTGTCCACATCCCGTGTCCATGATGAAGCGTATCGGTGGTCCATCATACCTCTCCACAGCCATGAACATCGTGTCTCCCGGTATCGTGTAGTTGACGGAATCCTTCCTTACTACCTCGCTGGTGTTGAAGTCAGACAGGTCGACGTTCACCTCGATTCCTTCATCTTGAGTGATTTGTATCCATGCCTTGGCAATGTGTTCAGCAGAATATAGCTCCATCATCTTGCCTTTGGCATGTGCTACTCGTGCAGCTATATTGTTCACTCTGAGGGCTCTCAACGATGAAATGAGCTCGGTATCCACCTTCTGCACCTCATCCTTCTTCTTCCTGAGAGGACGGGTATTTAGCTCGTTACCAGGATCACAGGTAAACGTGGTCACACTTGCCCGGTCGTCGAATCTGACTTTAAAACGAAGCGCCAGCTTACCTTGTTGTACGTTGGGAAGTGCGGGTCGCGCGTCCTCGCCATCACTCTCGATGTCTCCGCAAAGCATGAAGGCTGGCGCAGCCGGTTTGGGCTTGGCTTTGCCTTTAGCCTCTTGTTTTGTAGCAGGAGCAGCGTGATGCTGGCGTCGACATTTGTCCCCGAACTTGCACGATCCTTTCTGCCAATTCCAACAGACCTGATCCTTCATTGGCTTAGGGCTAGTGCTCCTGCCACCAGGACTCTTTGATCTGTCACCCTTGAGGTTTTCTGGTTTCTTAGCAGAACTTTTGTGTTTCTCTTGATGACTAAACTTGCATTTGTCTCCTCTAGAACATCCGTTTTTCCCATAGAAGTGGAAGGCGCATCCTATCTTGGACGTATCTGCTGGAGTCGCTGACCTGCCACGATCTCCTTTTGGGCTCTTCGTGGTTGATCTTCCACGATCTTGCTTCTTGTCCTTCTTGTTGTGGTCCTTCGGATTAGCCTGAGGAAGTACTGGAGCGGCGTCCTTCGGTGGATCGGCCTTGGTATTCTTGGGTTTCGCTTTAGGGTCCTTCTTCTCCGCAGCGGGTGTGGCTTTCACGAGGTTCCCAAAAGCCTTTTCCCTTTCTTTCTTGTTTGTGGTCTCAATTGATTTCCGTATCCACTTCGCCATGATCTCTCGTAGCTTCTGGTAGGTCTTATCCGGATCCTTATCCAACATGTTGTCGTACACAGACAAGTCTAACGCCATGACCTTGGAATCCTTAATCTTATCCCAAAGCAGGTTGCGAAGTGCTTTGTCAGGAAGCATATCATCCGCATCCATACCTGATATGATCTCATCCCACTGTCCAAGGAATCTGGATAGTTGATTATCCCCAGGGAACTTTAGATCGAATAAGTGCTTGGATGCATACATCACATCGACGTTGTCGGCACTCCGGAAGCTATCGACGATCAACGCTAACATTTCTCGTCCCTTGACCATTCCAGGAGTTGTACCTCTCGCACGTCTCTGCATCATCTGCCTCACCTTCAGTTGTACGTCATGAGATCTCTCACCTGCTGCGTGGATGATCGTATGTAGGGTGATACCTAGCTTAGCGTCTATGCTAGCGAATCTTGCTTCGCCTGATGTCTCGAGCAGAAATGGGTCATACGGTGATCTGAAGGCATCCGAGAGCCACTGGATCCAGTCTTCTTGTCTTTCGTCGCCCGATGCCGTCACGACTGCCGCTACAACCTGGGATTTCCAGACCTCCAGGTCGTGTATCTTGGGCCATGCAGGGATGTTGATCTTCTCGTGTTCCTTCCGAGATATCTTGGAGCCACCCGAGCTAGAGGATGAAGCGGCACCATGTTCGGTTGCGGCTGCATTCTCAGCATTCAAGCGCTCCTCTTCGTACCTCCTCCGGTACTTATTCCTCTCATCTCTGAGCCGTGCTGCATGCGCTTCGAATTCCATCATGTCCTGCTGGTTCTGCATCATACCTTCGTAGTACTCCATCGCCTCTTTCTCCTCGGACCTTAATGACTTTTCAGTACGTCCAAGTTCCGCTCTAAGCTTGGTCATCATCTCGTTCTCCACATTGGATTCTGATCCCATGCCTGGTGGTTTCATCTTCAGTGCGACCTTCAGTTGTGCTTCACTTGCGCTTGATTCGATCAATTCTTCCTGAAGACGTTTCAGCATCCTTTCTTTACGTAGAATGTCTTCTTCCAACATGTTCACCTTGACTTCAGCTTTCTTGAGTTCGACGTTGGATGGTTGAGACGGTCGATCGGATCCTTGAATCCTCGCCTGCGTCAACTCCTCGTTCGCCCTCTTCAATTGCTCTCTGATGGTCATGATGAAATTGTCCTGATTATAAGATCGGTTGTTGAGCTCCTCATTCTCTTCTGATAACCATTTGATCTTGCTTGTATACATTGCTTCCTTCATCTTCATCTCCTCAGCATATTCGTGTTTGTTCCTGGCACTCTGCCTTTGTAGTCCAACTAACTCCTGTCTATACAGATCCCTAATGTTCTCAGCATCTGCGACTGCAGTCATGAGCTCGGTTACGGCTCGATCTCTTTCCGCCGATATAGCCTGGATCTCTTCCGTGCCGATGTTCACAACTTGACTAACCATCTCTGCGCTGTTGCGATCAGCGTACTCCCCTAACTGGGTGAGACGATCCCGCATTGCCACACGATCAGTGTCAATCTGGTATTGCAAATCGTGTGCTGCTGAGAGTAAACAGTCTCTGGATTCTGTAAGTTGGGAGATTCTTCGTTGATTTCCATATCCTTCGACATAACATTCTTCGAGGTGTGCCATCACTACTTCGTGGACTTCGGTCTCGTGTTGTATAATCTGGTTCTGTCTCTGTTCACATTCGACCATCCATGCGTTTTGGTGGTTCAACATATGCACTTCGGCAAGTAGTTGTGCACACTTCGCATTGAGGTCTCCATCGGCCCGTGCTAGTTGTAGGTTGTCAGTGCTTGCCCTTGCTCCATCTCCAGCTTCGCTGTCCGACGGTACTGGTACAGTTGACCCATCCTCCAATGCTAGCACTCTCACAGCTCCGGTGTCAGTTCTCCTCCTTGTCTCCCTAGGGCTACGGCCTGATCTCGGTGTCCCCCCCCGGTGGTGTCGAGTGCGCCGACGGGGAACGACTTCGTGCTCTACCTGTCGCATCTTCTCTCACCGCTGCCAGAGTCTCCACTTCGATCGTACCTGGACTAGAGTTGTGGGATGCACTCATCCGATCTGCTGCTGCAGCAGCTGCTCCAAAGGACGCAGTGCTGGCGTCGGATTGGTCCATCTTCAGTGACTGAGGGTAACTGGTCTATCCGATGCGTGTGCGTTTAGATGGTGTTATGTAAGGCCGTAGCTCGTACCCAGCTCAAAGGAGTCTGGATACGGCTGATAACCTGCGAACGGATGAAAAGTGTGCCCTGGCCCCGTTCAAGCCCTTAGTTCAACATGAAGCTCGCGCGCTAAAGCTCCTTTTTACCTGGTTGGGCACTTGAGCCAAAAGTATATGGCATGTACCTGTATAGCAACTATACTGGGACCTCATCCCTATTGACACATTTGTTTATGGTTCCATCATATCGGCATACATATCTATTTATATATATATATACACATACACGCCCAACATTGGCCAATTAGGCAGCCTCAAGCTTCTCAGAATATGCACCCCCGGCATCCCAGAAACCACAGACCCCGCCTGTCTGCCATGGACTGCTGTGCTTCAGCCAGCCTGGAGGGCCAAGAACACGGCAGTCCCGTTTCAGGGGTGAGTCACTGGGAAGATCCAGTTCCTGTCCACTGACTTGACTGATCATGCTCAGTACGCCGTTTGTGCCACCAATTCCACAATACACGGGTCAAGAGCCGGAATCTTCAAAACTAAGTCAGTTGGGCTCCCGGGCGCAGGCTGGTGCAGCAGCGTTTGATGCGAGACATGACCTGCGGCCTGCGCCCAAAACCCGGACACGCTGTGAATTCCCCCGCTCCCCCAAAAAGAATGTGGATTCGGGGGGGGGGGTGTTATTCCTAAGGAAAACATAGGCAAACATAGGCAAACGTACAACCCTCAACTCGCTGCAAAGCCATGTGTTGCTATGGAACATGGATACCACTGATCACCATGTCCCGGCCTCGTCGCTCTCGACCTGACACAGGCGACAGAAACAACGCGTGTGCGACCATCAAGTCAAGCTCCCTTCTTTGGGACTCTTGGGACCTCCCCCCCCCCCAAAAAAAAAGTAAAAACACCAACAACTATGTCATTGAAAAAGATCGAACAACCCAACCACTAGACTACGTCTTCAGAAGGTCGTCCACAAACAACTACGTCTTCCGAAGCGTCGATCTTCTCTGGGGGCAGAAACCGGTCACTGTCCCGGTGACCGGTCAGCCCGCCCCACGGCCGTTCCGCCTCGTCCAGGTTGGCGGACTCGTAGGCCAGGACGAAGGGCGCTCGCGTGGCCGAGCTGAAGATCCGACAGAGGTCCACCTGCGCACGACGCGTGCGACGTCGACATGTGTTGTTCGAACTTGAACGTCCATGGCACTTGACCCGTCTCCAACACCGTTCTCTTCATGTGCGGCTCGAGTCTCTGCAGATGACTGTTTGATTTGCTCGTTTTTGTGCACATCGAGCTTGTGCAAAACCCCCGCGCGGCGCACGCTTGGAAAAAGATCGGCGCACATCGAGTCGCGGGATACGAGTACTTATTGATATTTACACATTTACGGTTACTATTTATATATATATATACACAGTACGTTGGGTGAGGCTGTTGATGGTTTTGGTGGGGGCTGATAATGATCTCCAAAGAAATCCGGTGCTATCATGGGGTAAGCCAGGTCAACATGGAGAAGTCAGAACACTATATAGATAGGGTCACTAGGACACTTTCCAACTCAACACGCCAAGCAAACATGACATCCTGACAGCCCGTTTGAGTGGAAGACAACTTGTACAGGTTCGAAAGGAGCCTCTCCACTCTATTTACAGGAGTAGGTCCTTTCGCTAAACCGAAAGGAAGTGCATTCGGCAGGTGTGCTGGACCAGACAGGTCATTTGTCCTGGAGGCCTCAAGAGAATGCCTAAAAACTCAACGACCAACGTGGGGTTTGGTGACTGGGACTTGGCAGCCAAGGAAAAACCCGGAACCCGAACCCATCCTTCCAATCATGCCAACGCACGTGAACATGTAGGATCTGGTGAAGGCTGTCCAAATCCCTCCACAACCTCGGCAGGGATGGCTTGGACCCTGGCGTTGTCTCGGTTGTTCCGCAACCAATGGGATTCAAGGCATCCAAATGCGGGAAGAGTAGACTGACTCTCAACCACGAACACTTCGGTATGGCAAAGAGGGCCCTCTCTCCATGTCCATGTTGGACTTGGCATTTCTTGGTATAATTCATACTCCATCTGGTAGTTCTTAAAGCCAGTCCACAACAAAATCCCACCAGCTGACACTGGGCCCGTCCGTTCCGCTCCGTCCCGCTCCGTCCCGTTCGTTGGCTTTCGCACCCCAGTCCGCACCGATTCCGCGCCGAGTCCGCGCCCCCGTTGGCCGCGTCCGGGCGGAATGTGCGCTCCAAGGAGGAAGAATGGCCCTGCCGTGGCCGAGCCGGAAACCGCGGCGAGGCGCCACCCGACCGAGCAAGCGGTCGCGACCACGGCGAGCGGTCGCGAGCTCCGTAGCGAGCTCCGGGACTTCTGAGAGGCCAAGCCGAAGCAGGACAAGTCGGAGCAGTTCCTATGTCGGAAAGGCCTAGAAGTTGTCGCGCCGCACTTTTCTTCCTTCTCAGATCCTTTGCAGTGCCAATCGTCCACTTCGGTTGAAAAGGCTAAGGAACATTCTGAAGACTCTTGAGGTCTCGACTAGGTAGCGGCAAAGGCACAAGCTTCAATTGCCCACTGCACATGGCAGCTCGCGCCAGCCGAAGGGTCGTGCAGAAACTGCATAAAAGTGCACGGCCTAAAGACTTGAAAGAACCTTGCTTCTCATGCGATGCCCATTTTGAAGGCCTCATGCAAGTCGAGTAGCGGAGTCGAGCGCACCCACAATAAACAAGGAAACATCTCTGGCTAAGAAGCCTGCAGCACCTGGAGAACTACTTCATGCCCCAGACCTATCCAACCTATCCACACTGCATTTCGTGTTTTCCGCAAGCGGGCTCAAACCTCATTATGATCCACTCACAGAGATTCAGCAACCTTCGAGTTTGGACTCGTTGACCTGCCAATTATTCCAAAATTGTAGGAGACGGAGAAGCGCAAATGGCTGAGTGGCTGGGCCAGTATGTAGTGATCTCCCAAAATCTGTTGGGTGGCAAATAGCAAGGTTGGTTTGTCCTATGGCCTCTGAACCCTCCACAGGCAAACCATTGACTTACACATACTTACAAACACACTTCGCACAGTGGCCCAAGTTCCAAACTCTCCAATTCTTGCCCATACGGCAATTCAGTTTAGGTCTCAAATTCAATTTAGAAGGTAAACCAGTCCAACCAATTCCATCTTCACCTTTCTGTGATGCATAGGACGCGCCACTGCCACGATCTCCCACTTGGAACCTGAACCCTCCGAAAGTCTCCATCCATCCAGGCCAAGTGGCAGCCTTGGTCTTCTTCATGACAGTGTTGCTGTACGAGACATTCATCTCAGCGCCATGGGCTTGACGTTGCTTCGAGTGCATCTGGTGGCACATCGCCATCTTCTTCGAGCCGAGCGAGACGTAGGTCTCGCGGGTCGACAAGTCGGCCCTGGCGCGATTTCGCGGTCGAAGCTGCCGCAAGCTGAAGCTGCCCTATAAGGGGGTTGTGTATATGGCCTTTCTTGGGCGATCTGAGGGTGGATAGTGGCGATCTGAGGGTGGATAGTGTGCAGAGTCTGCTTTCCAAGGAGTGACATTGATGTCCTCAAAGAAAAATCATCTCTCAAACGTCCCACTCTCCGGACGTCGTGGTGTGTTGGAAGAGTCTGGGAACCCTTCCCGGTCTTCATCCAATTCACCGGTTCCCAGCCTGCAGTCGTGCAAATCGCCTGCAGCCGTGGGTCCGCAGCCCATCAGGAAGCACCAAATCAAGGTGCCACAAGAAACGGCCCCTCTACCAACCGGACCCCTTTGAAAAGGTGGGTCCGGTGCAGAAAAAATCTCCAGAAGCCGCAACTGACCAAACCATATCATCTCCAAAAGAACCAGCATCACATGCCTGTCTTGCCTGGGTGTCCTTTCTGGTCCCGACCGTCAAGTGTCTGTCTGCGAGGACTGCAGCCAAGGAGCCCAGAAGACCCACAGAGGTGGCATCGCCGTTGATGACCTTGTACAGCGGAGGTGGATGAGCATGAGCAGACTCAGTCACTGGTGGTTACTGCAGGTAATGGACGGAGTGGACCTCAAAATCCATAGACCAGCAGTCTGGTGTTCCTTTTGGGCGGGGGCTGGGTGGTCGGCTCCGGCTAGTCAGGATCCTTATCCCTCGCATGTTGGGAGAGACAACCCACTTTCTGCCACCTGGAAACCAGCTGTGATTTGCCCAACGCCGCGATCGCCTCATCCAAGATCCGCTTGGCCTCATGGTGGATCAAAGGTGGTGGCACCATCCAATACAATCCTTCTTCTGCAAATTGCCTCCCAAAAAAAAGGTGTTGGGAGTACCTCCTGTCCTCACGGTGTCTTCAAGGTGGAGGAAACATGTTTTGGGGTCTTGACTTACCATTGCTGTCAGGCATGTTGCCCAAAGAATCTGGCATTGAGCCACAGATTATGTGCATTGTTAGCGAAATGTCAACACTGACACACCCTTGGTTTACCTCATGTTGGTGACACATGACATGCAGCTTCATCCTTTATTTCATATACTATGTTTTTGGGGGGTGCATTATTATAGCAAAAGACTTTTCAGGGCTTGCTTTTACCTTAGTGGGTCTCTATGTTCAAACCACGGGAAAATATCAAAAAGCCATTGAAAAAATATAAAGATATATATACATCTAAATCTAAAACATAACAATAATAAACATTGGCTATCAATACATGATTGTGTATGGTTGTAACTGCTTGATGGAATCTGTTGTGGATTCACCTGCGCGTGCCATTTTGGGCCCGCCCTGAGGCCTCCTCCAGGTTGCCGCGGTCTGCCGCAGTGCGACCGCGCTCCAGCGCATCGTGGGTCAGGTGTCGGTTCCAGTGGCGCTCCACCTGACACTCGCAAACTCGCATTCAGAGCACTTGGGAAGGTTTTAAAAATACTGGACACCCGAAAATGAAGACAGTAAAAAAATTGAAAAGGGTTGGTCACTAGGTTGGTACATTTTTCAGACTCTGGACCAGCGTGGGGACACTGGTCCGGGGGGGCGCTCGTCACAACAGTGTCCCTCGGCCTGAGGATGTCCCGGAGTCTCCGGCACCTGCAGGCCATGAGCCGGCGATCCACGGAAAGGGTGAACCGGAGCACGGGGAAATCTGCATCTCCCAGTCCAGCGGCTTGCTGGTTGTGATTGTCTACCCACTTCATGACCAAAAAATATATACATGAAAATGAACCAACAAAATGCGTCACGGTCCTTTCCATTCATCGTCATCCATCCCTTCACCGCCACCTCGCCCACCTCGCCCACCTCGCCTGGGCACGACGCTCCAGCATCAAGGGCTTCAGCTCCTGCTCGCTGCGCGTCTGCACCACGGAGAAGCCAGAGGCCGTCAGCCGGCCCAAGGCCTGCAAGGCCTTGAGGGCGAGATGGAGATGGAGATGAGTGGAGTGTGGAGGGAGTGGAGGGAGTTGAGGAAGTGGAGGGAGTTGGAGCACCAATCACGTAACCTATACCTTGTCAAAGAAAAGCATATGAGTGCACAAAAGTCTTGTGCATCTCTCTGCGTGTTTGCCTGCTTATCTAGTGTACGGTGAACTGCTTAAACCTCTGCTGTTTCTTCTCAGCCACAAAAAGAAGGAGCCTCTTGCCAAAGATTTCTCCGGGTGCATCAAGGAGGAGTTCCAGACGGCAAAAAGGCTTGCACATCCCGGTCATCAAAAATTGACCACTTTTTGCACAGTTTGGTCAGCTGTCACCGGCTGGCCGCTTCGCCTCGTTCTGCGCCGCCGGCAGGCGCAGAGAGATCAAGACGTCGCGCCTGCAAGCATGAACCGAAACCAGTACAGAATGGCACTGGTCCTACACCAACTGGGGAAGAAATGCCGCAGGACCAGTGTTTCCTGTTCCAAAAGTGCATCTGCTTCGTCTGTGTTTCACCCACATTCCATATTTCAAGCCGAAGTACAAGAAATTTGGAGTCAACAACAGTTTTGCCCAGAACGAGACTCACAGCAGGCAGAATAGGCAAAATCCACCGTAACTGGGTCATTATATAATTAACAGCTCGATCAGTTTCAGGACAGCCTCAACACAACTTGGATTTGACCAAGTGATCAATGATACACACCGAATCAAATACCGTCCACCTCAGTGTCCGTCCCATCCTCAGAAGAGTTCCCTCTCAGTCACTCGCGGCCCGCTGTCGACGACGCCCCGAAGGCCTCTCTTCAGCGAAGAGGTCGCCCAACTCGACTTTCACCCCATCCTCTCGGAGTGGCTGCGGAGTGGAGCGAAGCGAGCGGGGCGTTGCTGGAGGCCGTTGCTGGAGGAGAGATTTGTCTGTTGGATCTTTTTGGGGTCACACGGATGTCAGGTCAGCTCAAGGGACCCGCTTCACAAACAAGTTCATGGGCATCATCTGGACTGAATATGGATATTCATTTTGGGCGGTCATCCCAGCAAACTTTACTCATGATGCAGCGAGTTCACCGACTGCCCTTTCCTCAATGTTCAGGTCCAGCCCCGTGTGGTCTCGTCTCTCCTGCGTCGGCTCCACTGGGAAGGTGGTGAAGGCGCGATCCAATTGGACGCCCGGTGCCAACTCCAGCTTTAACGAAACGTTCTGGTGCGTGGTGGACAGCAGGCCTCGCCGCGGCAAACACGGCGCCAGCGCAACATTGCAAAGAAAACACGCTTTTTGTAGGAACTGATGAGCGGTTTGATGGAGGCAATAGTAATAAAGGTGGGATAGCGCCCTCAGTCCTCGGTGTTTAAGGGAACTGACTGACACTGCCAATCTTTCGAGCTCCCTCCTAAGGGGAAAACGTCCGGAAAAAAAAAAGTCCTTCTGACAGGTGATATGCATCGGCGAAAGCTGCTGTCAGGAGCCATTTCTCAGAACTGGTAGAACTTGTCTCAATGACGCAATCAAATCGGAGGAAAAAATAACAAAACACTAATGTCACTAATCATGCCCTCAGGACTCTGTGCCCAGGACACTGCGCCTCCCAGCGCTTCCCCAAAGCATTCAGCGATTTGGTCCTAGACGATTTCGCGCCCATCTGGAGGAATCGATGCCGTGGGCCGTGGGCGGCCGGTGGGAAAGGAGGGAGGAGTTGGGGACGGTCCGCGCTCGGAAAGCGGCCCGCGCTGGTCGGATGTTCGTCTCCTTTCATGTGAACCGTGGTGGACGCGGTTTCTAGAATTGGTGCTGCGTGGCTTCGGGCAATGGCAGGAAAGAACCCTCTTCCTGTGGTCGGCTCCTGGGACCCCAAGTCGGCTCCTCGGACTGCACATG